TGTATTTCTTTTGATCTTAACTCAAAGACACAGTTTTGCAGGAATGTCCTGAGCTTCTATAAAGAGTCTGGCTGTTTTTCTGCTTTTTCCATTTGAAAGTACACCTGTGTGCCCAAGGCAATTCTGCTAACACTGTTCACTTTGGTAAGCCCCCTCTGCTCATTTCTCAGCCACGCTAACCCCAAACATTACCCTTGTCACTGAAACTCTGAAAGTGGTCTATGGGAGGGGTAGCAAAATGGATGTGTGTGGTATATAGTCCCCATTGTCTCTTGGTGAGGCACCTGAACTCCAGCCCCTTCCAAGAGTTTTTACCCAAGGAGTCTAGGTGCTTCTTTAAGTTATCCCTGACCTAGGTGTTGGAGTGGGACTGGGTTGGGGAGGGGTTATGTGCAACTCATTGGGAGAGGACTTGTTTACCATTAGGCACACAATGCCTGTATGAGATCTGCAACACCAAAAAATAAACTCCACCTAAACCACAAAGACCGGTCTCCAAAAGTAAAATGCTCCTGTTGGCCACCTGCTGCTGAGTCCTCCTGAATGAGAGGAAGTGGCTTCCTCCCCAGAGCATACACACCTGTGCCCTCCCTCTCCCCCCCTCCCCCTCCCTCCCTCCCTCCCTCCCTCTCCTCTCCTCTCTCTCTCTCTCTCTCTCTCTCTCTCTCTCTCTCTCTCTCTTTGTTTGTGTGTGTACAGGAGTGTAGATGGCAGGTATGTTGAAGTCTTAATGAAAGGGTTCCTCTACAGGATTGCTTGTATCCTGCCCACCTCCGAGGCTCCTATGAATAACTTTACCTTTGAACTCTCCCTGTATTCAGCCCCTGATCCTTAGGATTTGGTGACAATCCTTGACTGGCAGGAAGCTTTGATCCTTGGGGAGTCCAGAGGAAGTCCTGTGATAAGTGGGATTGGAGGGAAGTTGCAGGAGGTGGGCTGCTAAGGGGCACCCATTAATTAAGAAAAAGGCTTTGCCTAACACTCATTTACCTAAAATAAAGTCCAGAGCCTGGTAACAGGAGCTCAGGGCCCCAAAGGATTCAGTGTTTGCACAAGCAGTTCTGTCATTTAAGGACATAGCAGTGCCCTGGGGAAATTCCTACCCACACCCCAGGAAGAGCAAAATGCCTCAGAACTTCCCCTTTAAAGAGGTGAAGCTGCCTTTCTTTGAATGGTGGGTACTGTAAGAGAAAGAAATCTCTTAGAGCTCTGAATGTAGCTCAGGTGGCAGAGCACTTGCCTAGCTCTGGGTTCAGTGACAAGATGGCACATGCCTGTACTCTCAGCCTCCTGGACAAAGCAGCAGAAGAGTTCAAAGTCATCCTTGGCCTCAGAGAGAACTGGAGGCCAAGGACAGCAAGATGGTTCAGTGGGTACAGGTACTTGCTGCCAAGCCTGATGACCTGAGTTCAATCCCTGGGACCTGCATGGTATAAGGAGAAGAGTGACTCCAACTCTCATAGTGTGAGTCATGGCACGTGTGCATTCACATACATTTACACACACTAAATAAATAAATACAGCTTTTATAATAAATAGGAATATAATTTTTAAACTACTTTTGCTTAAAAACTACCTTATCTCAGATGGCTAGCCAGGAAGGGGACTTGCTAATGCATCCCAAAGCCATTCCTTGGTTCCACCCAATAAGCCTCAATGATGCCTCATTCACCAGCAGGGGATTGTTCCTCTTCTCCCACCCCCCCTCCAAATGCAGATCATTTTCTTTGATCCAGATAATCAAGCACATTAGCACACTGTTTACTTCTAAGAGTAGAGACCTCACTGTGCAATGTGTGCCTGCCTGCCCTTGCACTGGGCTTTGGAGGGAAGGGTTCGTGGATCATTCATTGATTTAGTGCCTGCGTACTGTGCAGGCCCCTCATGATTATTGAATGAGTGGGTAACTGTGAGGCAGAGGCCATGTAAAGTTGTCTTCTTTCTGGAATCATCTCATTTTCACTCTACCAAGAAAGAAGCAGCACATGCGGATAGGGCTTTGTTAGGGTTGGACGCCTGTCTTATTCCCCGTGTATCACGGCTCCATGAGAAAGTCCATGACATGCCTCACAGCATCCTGGTGAGCTTGGCTCATGGAGCTCAGAACTTAATGTAGCAACACTTAGAAACGGAACAGTTGTGGCAGGACCATATAAAACTCATGTCCCCCCACACACACACACACACAAAATCAAAACACAAGGCCCCATTTAAAAGAATGGGGGAAGGGTAGAGAGATGGCTTAGGAGTTGTATACTTGTCCTTGCAGAGGACCTAGGTTCGATTCTTTGTACCCAAATAGCATCTCACAACTGTCCATAACACCAGTTCCAGGATGCACATGATACACAGACATCCATGAGAGCAAAGCACTCATACACATAATATAAATACATCTTTTTTTATTTGTTTGTTTTGTTTTTGTTTTTTGGGACAGGGTTTCTGTGTAGCTTTGGAACCTGTCCTGGAACTCGCTCTGTAGATCAGGTGGCTTTGAACTCACAGAGATCTGTCTGCCTCTGCCTCCTGAGTGCTGGGATGAAAGGCATGCGCCACCAACGCCCAGCAAATACATCATTTTTTAAAGATGTATTTATTTTATGTGTGAGTGCCCTATCTGCATGTACACATTTATGCCAGAAGAGGGCATCAGATCCCATTATAGATGGTTATAAGTCACCATGTAGGTGCTGGGAATTGAATTCAGAACCTCTGGAAGAGCCATCTCTCCAGCCCCAAATAAATCATCTTTTAAAACATTTTTTTTAAAAAGAGGGCAGAAGTGCCATTAATAATAATAGAATACAGTTTTCCCCTTTCTCTTCCATAATCTCACTTTACTTGTCCTAGTATTTACTTATTGTCATTGAGGTTGCTCTAAGGAGAAGAAATGTGAAATAATTGCATGCTTTTTACAGCTTATCTTGACTCTGTGCAATGCCAATCTTAAATGCTCATACAGAGAATCACCAAAATTACACAGTATGTATCCCACAGCTTACACATGCATTTCCATCCTTGAAAAATGGGAAGAGCTGCACAAATGAGCACAGCCATTCCTCTCCTTGATTGGTGCACCTGCTGTCAGTGCTGTGTCCCTCCATAAGGCTGGCTAGAAGGAACAAGGATGATAGGTTGCCTTGCTTCCTTCTATGTCATTGGTTTTAGTGTAAATGTTTAGCTAAAACAAAAAAGGTGAGTGTGTAAGAAAGGATGTCATAGAGGATCCCTGACTGTCTTTCTTAGAAAGTCGTTACCTTCTCTGTGTGGTAGGAATAGGTTCTAGTTAAAATGGAAAGCTGGAACTCTCCAGGCTGTCAGTGCCTTCATTTGTTTAGTTGTAAGAGTAACAGACAGAGTCACCTGCTTCTGGCTTCAGGGATTTCTGATCCCATTTACTGTAAGTCTATCAGAGTGTTGTGTTCATTGACATAAGGACCACAATCAAAAGTGCACCTTCGAGAGTCAGCTTGCATCTCCTCTGCTCACATTCCTGCTCCATTGTCTCACAGGATTCAAGCCATAAATCCAGTAAAAAATATTAGTAATAGCTGAGTGGTGGTGGTACATGCCTTTAATTCCAGCACTTGGGAGGCAGAGGCCGGTGAATTTCTGTGAGTTCCAGGCCGGCCTGTTCTACAGAGTAAGTTCCAGGACAGACTCCAAAGGTACAGAGAAACCGTGTCTGGAAAAACATTATTAGTAATTTTAGCATTTCCATAGTAGGCTGTTAAAGCAGGCAGCATGGGCCTTGGGGACTATACTGGCTGTATGGCACTGTTTCGGTAGATGTTCTTAGAGTTAAGAAACTGGCCAGGAGCGGCATGTGTGTGTTTCAGCGTCTGCCAGATGCCACTCATCTTATGAAGTACTGGGCCACACCAGAGGAAGAAGACAAGACATGGCCTAGGCATCCGCAGTATTTGTGATCTAATGAGGAAAGCATTTCTCAATCATACAATATCAACCCCCAACATGAATGAGAAAACGACATCACAACAAGTACTTAAATTATAATTGTGAGATGAACTACAGACAGAATTCAAGGATAATTAGCCTTAGCTTGGTGGGCTTTCAAGAGAAAAGCCCTTGAAGTGGTATCTGGGGGGGGGGGTGTAGGGCAGAGAGGACAGGAAGTTGCCTCCCAGCATAAGGGGACAGCATGTGTAATATGGATCAGGGAAGGAGCTCTGCTTAGGAAAAAAATATCCAAAGAGCCAGAGCTCAGGCAGCCAGAGGGAGACCGGATGTGGGAAGGAAGGACCCAGGGCTTTTTCGGGGGACCCTGTTTCTTACCTTGCTCCACTTCTCCCCAGGGCCTATGCTGATCAAGAACCTCACAAGGTAGAGAGATTCTGATTTCCCTTAGCAAGTCCAAGACACGTATTACACCTCAAACTTGCAGGGATCTGCCAGCTTCTGTCCACTGAGTGCTGGGACTAAAGGCATGCACCACCATGCCCAGTCCTAAAAATTCTAAACTGGAACCAAGCATGCCTGTAACCCTCAGAAGAATGAGACTTTGGGACCTCAAGTTTGAGACCAGTTCATCCCAGAAAAACAAAACCAGGGGACAGGGAGATGATTCAGTAAAGACACTTGCCACTGAGCCTTCTGACTTCAGTCTACCCTTGGGATTCACATAGTAGGAGAGAACTGACTTCAATGTGTGCTTATACATACACACAGAGACCCTGACAAAAATTGGGCAGCCAGCTGCTCTAGAAGCACCTGTACCAGGCAGTCTTGCCTGTCTTTGTCCTGAGGCCTCTGATACCCTTTGACTGGAGGATTCAAGAATGGTGCTAGGGCCTAGAAATATGAGGAGCAGTTTAAAAACCCATAGTGAAGTGTTGTGGGTAAGAAACAAAAAGGATCCTCTGTGGGACCCTTGTCCCACAGCTCTCCCTTCTCCAGGTTGAAAGGCCCTGCATTACCTTCCCAAGGAAGCCTGAGATTGCCTCCCAGTAGATGTGCTCATGACCCATCTCTCTCTCCAGGTGCTGAGCGATGTCCTCAAGGATCTCTATCACCTGCTGAAGCATGTGGTGCGTTTGGAACCAGATAATGTGGCCAAGCTACATGCCCAGCTGGCCCTGGAAGAGCTGGATGAGATCATGAGGAACTTCCTGTTCCCTCCCCAGAAGCTGGAGAAGAAGATCGTGGTCTTGCCATAGACCTGGTTCATAGGACATGGAAGAAGGCAGAGAGGGACCAAGCAGCCAAAGCAGTAGCCAGACACCTCCCAGCAGGTGGCTCCACCACCTCCCTAATACTTTAATACTTGCAATATGGCAGATGTTAAGGTAGCTGTATGGTGCTGGACACTTGGTGTTCAGGACTACCTTTCTAGAGCATCCTTTTAGTCACCCTGCACCTGGCCCAAAGCATGGGCAGTTAGAAGGAAAAGGATGAATTCCATCTTGTCTGCACATTCTTGTTGTCTTGTGTTATTTAGAGGAGATACACATGACTGAACCATTTTCTTGGAGATGGAGAGGCTGCCTGCACAGGTCCTATCTTGATGTTCTTTCATGGGGAGATGACTCCACTTGTGACAATGAGGAGCAGGCAGAGCTGTTGTGTTTGACTGCTAAAGAGTCATCTGGTTGTGCAGCTGTGGGAAGGGGAAGAAAGCACTGCTTAAAGGTATAAAAAGGAATAAAATGACCTTGGTTGGTATGACCAGCCAGGCTGAGTCTGCTTATTTAGCTGGCTGACTCTCACAGAGAAGAGAAATAAAGCTCTGTTTGTTTTCTGGGGCCATTTCCTTTTGTTCCCTCTGCTCCTTTTGTTTCTTTTTCAAGGCAGGATTTCCTCTGTAGCAATTCTAGCTGTCCTAGAACTCTCCCTGTAGACCAGCCTGCCTCTGCCCTGCCTGACTCCTCTGTTCATCTGCAGGTTGAAAGCTGAGACAATGGAGTGGTCTGAGAATTTCAGATGTATCATCATGGTTGCTGGTTCCTTTAATTTTATATTTTGGTGTTTTCATTGCACCTAAAAAGGAAGGAAGGAAGGAAGGAAGGAAGGAAGGAAGGAAGGAAGGAAGGAAGGGAAAGAGAGAGAAATGAGAAGAGATACATCAGTCCCTAAAGTACTTACTTTTCCAGGTATGAGGACCTCAGCTCAATCTCCCAGCATCCAAATAAAAAGGCTGCTTGTGGCAACACACACCTCTAACCCAGCTCTGGAAAGAGAGATGGGTATATCAGTGACTCACTAGCCAGCCAACTTAACCTACTTCGTGAGCTCTAAGCCAAGGAAAGACCCTCTCCAAAAAAGGAAAAGAAGAAGAAGCCAGAGTGTGGTAGCACACACCTTTGATCCCAGCACTCAGGAGGCAGAGGCAGGCAGAACTCTGTGAGTTAGAGGCTAGCCTGGTCTACAGAATGAATGAGTTTCTCCAGGACAGCCAAGGCTACACAGAGAAATCCTGTCTCAAAAAAAAAGAAAAAAAAAAGATGTCTACTTCCCTTGATCACTTGGACAAACCTAAAAATTCTTTTCTTTCTTTCTTTCTTTCTTCCTTTCTTTCTTTCTTTCTTTGTTGTTCTGTTTGTCTGTTGAGGCAGGGTTTCTCTGCGTAACAGTCCTGGCTGTCTTGACTCTGTAGACCAGGTTGGCCTAGAACTCACAGAGATCCTCCCTCCTCTGCCTCCCAAGTGCTGGGATTAAAGGCCTGTGCCACTACTACCCAGATAAAATCTGTTTCTTAGCATTTAGAGTACATACAACCTGGGGTGGAGAGATGCTCAGCAGTTAAGAGTGCATACTACTCTTGCAGAGGACCCAGGTCTGGTTCCCAGCATCCACATCAGGCAGCTCATCTTGGCCTGTGACTCCAGCTCTAGGGGATTGCCACCTCTGGTCCCTAAGGGCACCAGCACTCATTGTATATCTATACACACACACACACACACACAATTAGAAATAATTTTTTAAAAATTATATATATATATTTTAAGATACCTGCTCAGACATACAAGTTGATTATGTTAGGCAGTCTATGTAACTGTCCATGGCAGCATTTACATGAATGTATTCTAGTTTTGAGGACATTCATGGATGACTTTGAACTATTTATCAAAGGACTCAAAGTATTTGACTTTATTGATTTTGGTATGGTTAATTTCAAAGTATTTTTTTTCTTCCTGACTTCAAATCCAAAGGGAAAATTATTTAATGTAACCCTTCTAAAAAACATGACCAAGTTATTTAAACTATCAAATAACCCAGGCATGGCAGTTAATTCTTATAACAGCACTCAGGAGAATGAGGCAGGAGAGTTTCAGTGAGTTCAAAGTCAGATTTGGATTACACCTTGAGGTCTAAGAGCTTGAATCACAGTATGAAATACTGTCTGGAAAAAAAAAAAAACTCATAGGGGCTAAAGATATAGTTCAGTTAGTAGAATGCTTGTCTAAAATACACAAAGCTTGGATTTGATCCCCATGATCTTGAAAATGAGAGTAATCCCAGCATTTAGCTATGAAGGCAAGAGGATCATAAGTTCAATGTCAGCCTCAGCTACATAGCAAGTTGGAGCCTGGCCTGGGCTACAGAAGATCCTGTCTCAGTTATAATTTTTGTTACAAATTTATTCATATGCTTATTATGTATGTGAATGAAAAGCTCTAGGGAAAGAGAATAATAGAATAGAAAACGCACAAACTTAAAATTTAAAAGGTCCAGAATTGCAGGCCTTTAATACCAGCTGCTAGAAAGTTGAGGCAGTAGAGTGGCAAGCAAAAGGCCTTCCTGGGCTGCAATGAGTTCACAGAAACTGTGAGGACCTATCTCAAAATAAAAACATACGCAGGGCCAGGATTATGCCTCAGTGGTAGGTAGCACTGTTGCTTTGCCTACACAGGGCCCTATGCTCATTCCCCAGCCCTGCAAAAAAATAACTGGCACAAAACCCCAAAGACCTGAGATGCATAGCAGGAAGAGTAACACTGCCCTGTAAAGCTGAGCTCTGTCCCACTTCTGTCCATCTGTCCTCTCTCGGGGGGCAGGTCCTCTTCTTGCTGCTCCTGCCCCCCCACATCTATCATCGAGGTTCTCCTGGCCATCCCTTGTCTGGTGGCTCCTCACCTAGGCTCCCTGTGCCCCTCTCTTCTCCTTCCTGGCCTCAGGCTGCTGGCCAGTAGCACTGTAGTAGAGACATGCAGGGCCCAAGCTTCTGCCCTGAGATCACTTCCTGTTCAGTCTGGAGTCTCCCTGTGCTGTGGAGTTTTTCCTCCTCTTTGGTACAATCTGGCCCTTCTGCAAGACCCTCCACTTGCTCTTTATCTTTCCTGTGTGCATTGTTTCCCATTTCTTGACGCATTCCTCCTCTGCACCCTTTTACTCTCCTATGGCTCTGCCCCCATCCAAGGGCAAGAGTCAAGGTACCAGAGACTGGGGGATGGGAAAGAAATCACAGACAGCAAGGACAATTTGTTAAGCACTTACCATGTGCTGTCACTTAAGTCACTGAGAGCACAACTCATAGCAAAAGAGAAAAACCTTTACCTTTAGGGAGGTTCTGCTTTAGTGAGTTCAAGGACAGTCAAAGCTACATAGAGAGACCCTGTGGTGGTCTCCTTTAATGTGGTGCACACCTTTAATCCCAGCACTTGGGAGGCAGAGGATTCAGAGTTCAAAGCCAGCCTGATCTACAAGATTGAGTGCCAGGACAGCCAGGGCTATACAGAGAAACCCTGTCTCAAAAAGCCAAAAAAAAGTAAACAATTAAAGATAAAGGGCATAAATGGAAGGTCAACTAGTTAAAAAGCTCTGGGCTGGCAAGACAGTGCAACAAGTAAGGGTGAAGGGTGTTAAGGTACCAAGCCTGACAGCCTGAGTTCAAATCCCAGGATCCCATGATAGAAGAAAGAACGGAGGGTTGTTCCTCTAGTTGTCCTCTGACTTCCACACACACCCTGGCACAAGAACACACCCCATAAGTAAATGTAGTTAAATTATTTGCTAAAGTTCTGGGAGAAATGAAGTCAGGAGTGAGGACGGGAGGGCCGGGTGGAAGCTGTGAGCTGACGTAGGATGGCCTGTGAGATGTCGGTGGCTCTGAAAGCCAAGAGGTGAAGGGGTGACCACGAAGACATGGGAGGAAGATCTCAGGCGAAGGGAGCAGAGGGTGCAAAGTCCCCAAGAGAGATGAGGTTGAAGAAGAGCTGGGACCCAGGGTGGCTAAGGCAGTGTACGAGGGGTTCACAAAACAAAGGGTGCAGCCACAGACCAATTTCTCCCTGAAGCCACTTCCTTTAGCTTGTTTCTGGAAAGTGCTATGAAGCTAATGTGATCTGTGTTGTAAAACTGAAGTAAATTTAACCACACACAGCCCTTTTTCTATTTTCTCCCTCAATCACAAGAAAGCAGCAGCCTGATGCCTCTCTACTCCCATCACCCCTCCCCCCCCCCCCCCCCCCGGCTTGGCTTCAGTTACTCCTCCAATAACAGAAAGCACAGCGAGTGTATGCATCCACCCCCCAGCTCTCTCCTGTCCCTTTATCTCAAAGGACACCTGAATGAAGTGCCACAGCCAGGGGTTTGGAAGGGTGGCCATGGCCTGGGAAAGTTGATTAGTTTGTGGGAGTGAGCTGGGGGATGATCCATGTGTCTGACCTGTTAAAACCTGAGAGAGGCTTCTGTGCTTTCCCACAGCCATGGCCAGGATTTCTATGACACCAGAGTAGAAATGGCAGCTGAAATGGAGTGCTGAATGGAAGCTGAGAGCTGGCCACCTTTCTGTGACTGTGTGGCTGCCTTCCCTGAGCCCTAGCAGTGGTAATGACATAGAGGGCTTGGCTGTGCCCTGCTTCAGGCTTGCTGTGCTGCAGTCACATGCACAGCCTCACTGCGGTGTGCTGCACCTCATGCACCAGTCTACTCTGAGCTAGTGTCCGCTTTGCTTGGGGGCTGGGAATGAGTCTGGCTGCCGTGTGCTGCAGCCTCTTCCCTGCTGGCCAGCTCAGGCTGCACTGAAGTACATACTAGCAAGGGAAAAAGGAAGCCAGACCCTCACATCTGCCTGGGGGGGGATTCTGCCCACTTAGCTTTTGAAGGTCACCCCCAATCCCTCCCACAGCTCCTCTTAGTCACTCAATAGCTCTGTGCTCCCCAAAGCTTCCTTTCTGCCCCTCCACCAGGTAACTCTCTGTAGTCTCCAAAGATCAGCTGCTTTGTTTCCTTCAGTTTGGACAGCTAGGTTGCAAAATAGGGAGAAAAGCTACTGTCTTCCCCTCTGGGGGAGTTTTAGCTCCAGGCCTTGTGCATCCTGGCCAAGGTAGTGATTGGAAGACCCTGATGAAATACCATGGGCACTGCTGGGTACTGCTGGAGTTACTTCTCCAAACTGGGCATTAAAGTAAAAGCCTTTCACACTGGGAATATAGCTTAGTGGTGGAGGGCTTGCCTGGCATGCATGAGGCCTGGGTTCAATCCCCAGTACACACAGGGACACAGACATGCAGGAACATAAATAGAGAGACAGACAGAGACCATGATCATGCTTTTATGAGTTTGAATTGCAGACGTGAGTGCTGTACACACCAGGGTCCTTGATGATTTAAATGAGAATGTCCCTCATAGGTCATATGTTTGAATACTTGATACCCAATTGGAACTGTTTAAGAAGGATTAGTACATGTGGACTTGTTGGAGAAGGTGTGTTACTTGAGGCAGGCTT